GAATATTGCTTGTGATATTCAAGCAATATTACAAAAGTGGAATTAGGCAGTGTTGGTAAATCCAGGGATGTGTGATTGGATTGACAGACAAATGGTACACTAAATTTGTCAATGTTCCCAGTACTGAAGTAAAAACCTTATGTTGTGCCAGTACACATTAATATGATACATGAAGGGTATCAAGAGAGGCAATGCTGAAATAGAGTCAACAAATGTGGAGCTGGAAAAGCACAGTAGGTCAGACAGTGTCTGGGGAGCAGGAACGTCAATGTTTCAGGTTGAAACCCTTCATCCGGAATTCAACTGAAATAGAGCTGGGTATTGTCATTGGATGGGTGGAAGCTGACAGTGTTTTTCAGCAATTGAGAATGATCCAATGTGGCTAACAGCAAGCAAAATACTTTTGAAGTCTAACCACTGTTAACAGAATAAGAAATATAGGCCAGGATTTAGTGCTTTGTGCATTAAGAAGGGCAGTCACATCTCTTTAAGGGTAATTAATCCCCGTCCCCATCAGCAAGGAAACCCTCCAAATCAGATTCTTAAGTGTTGACTTGACAGACTTCTCAGCCAATCAAGTGTTTCACCAGAGAGCTCCTACCCCAAATTAAGCTGCTGACCAAAAAAAGATTGCATGTCACTGGGCGCTGCAGTCCAGGACACCCATGGACCTGCCCCATTCAGGACTCTTCTTCCTGTATATTTCTATCAAAATGTTCAGAAGTGTTATGACTTGAACTGAATGCAGCCCTTTTAACCCAAAGGCAGGGACACTAAGACTGCACCACCAGAGCCCTATGAACATTTTTTTAAACAACCCTTAGCACTTTCTTCTGGGTTTCTGTCTAAGATGTTGAGAAGTGCATGGAAGTTTAAGACTGCATCCTTAGCCTTTTAGATATTTTCCAATCAAACTGCCCAAGATGTTATGGCACACCTCTGGAGCAGGTAGGATGTGAACCTAGACCTCCTAGCTCAGAGCTAGGGATGCTACCTCTATGCCAGAAGACCACCCTACCCCAATTCTTCTTCTGGTAGAAAGGAAGCAGGTAGCACTCAGTGTTAACCAACCCCACTATTTGCTCTTCTAAACACTTGCCCTGCCCTGCTGGAAAGGAGAAATATATAGCCATAGGAACAAATGTGCTCCCTTACAAACAACAGTGCAACAATGAAAAAATAATGTTATTTAGTTATTTTTGTTGATGAATAGTTCTGCTGTAGGTCACAATCTTGTTCTTCTTCAAAGTCAACCTTCAAAGTTCATTTCACAGAGGCCTGGGTGAAACATTTAATCCAAAAAATGGCACCTCTGAAAGTGCTGTCCATCTTCACTACTAGCACTGCAAGAATCAGCCTACATAATGTGCTCAGGCCTCAGAAAAAAAACTGCAACTGTTGTGTTTTAACCTTCCAATGAGATCACCAACCTTCAGATATCTCAAGTTCCACCACAAATCCAACTCAAGCTGAGGTCTTCATCTTTCAACAAGAAAATGCCTACCACCTGGAGGGACCAACGATTCCCATTTCCACTAATTGTTCATGTGAGGTTTAATTTTCCCAACCTTGAAAATATTCAGGAGGTGTGATCAATTTCATCTCCCTCCGCTCATTGTCACAAAGCAAACATCAGCTTAATATTAAGGGAGGTGGTCTATGAGCAGGTTAAGCTACTTGTTTGGCATCTCATCAGGGCCAATAAGTGCCCCAGAGGTGCAGGGTGGTCAATTAGTTGGTGCCAGGCATTCCCACCCTGGAAGATGCTGAGCTGCAACAAGCTGGAATGGGATGCTGTCATCATGATGAGTCTGGCAGTCCATCCTACAGACTCAGCAGCACTATCCAGTGGCAAAGCACATGGATTCAGAGGTGCAGTAGTGGAAATGAACTGGGGTTTACCAATTCGGACCACCAAAGTGACAACTGCAAATACATCACATGGTGTTCTCACCTACCACTGTGGGCAATGTCCAGCTCGAGCGCCATTAGCAAAATTCCAGTCCCTTCTGAAAATGGTCTCCAATTGATGACCTTCACTGGCATCTTGTCACTGCTCCATGACTTTCCTGAAAGCAACTCCGTAAAAAGAAATCACAAGAGAATGTGAACATATCTGATGCCTTCCTGTGCTTTTTTTCATTGAATTCACAGGGCTGGTAAAATTTAGTCAATAGTTTGACACAAGTAAAGCAGCATTTATTTACAAAAATGCAGGTAAACCATTGATTTCCATTCCCACACCAGACTAAAATACTTTGATACATTGTCCAAGCCAGTTAGAATTCTTGAGTTACTGCAGGAGGCCAAACTGTCTGCCGTGTTTGATCCCACTTTCTGCATGAGTTATGCCACTCCCCTGCCTTCTCTCCATTTCCCTCTAAATGCTTCCTCTTCAGAAAATGATCCAATTTTTTTTTATTGCATCTTCCTTTCGAGTGTTCTGACAATAGTTCAGCGAGTGAAAACATTTCTTGTTCTGAAGAAGGGTCTCTGGACCTGAAACATTAACTCTGTTTTCTCTCTACAGATGATCCCAGCTTTGTTCCTGAGTTGCTCCAGCAATTTTGCTGTGTGTTTCTTTCTTATTTCATACAGATCATGGACAGTGAGTGATTGAACCTGCAACTGTTGATCACAGTTAGGCAGATGACAAAAATGCTGCAATTGTCTCAGTGCTACAAAATGAGGAAGATAACAAATTAGGAATGGTGCCTATATTCTCCCACACTCCATTCCTGGTGGCTATTCAGTGTTCATCCATGCTAAGTAGAAATGGAAATGCTGGTGATATTCATCAGGCCTGGCAGTATCAATGGGGAAAGAAACAAGTAAAGTTTCAGGTTAATCACCTTTCAACAGAAATGGAAAATGCTACAAAAATGAGGGGCTTGAAATGAAATAAAACAATATGGAGGCAACTTGAATTGTAAAAGTCAAAATTAATTTGTAGTACAGAAGTACAGCATTCAACCCAACCATCTTCAGTTGCTTCATCAATGACCTTCCCTCCATCATAAGGTCAGAAGTGGGGACGTTTGCCGATGATTGCACAATGTTCAGAACCGTTCATGACTCCTTAGATACTGAAGCAGTCTGTGTCCAACTGCAACAAAACCTGGATGATACCCAGGCTTTGGCTGAAAAGTGGCAAGTAATGTTCCCACTCCACTAATGCCAGGCAATTACAATCTCTAAAATAAGACAATCTAACAACCATCTCTTGACAATCAATGGTGTTACCATCACGGAATCCTCCACTAGCAACATCCTGGGGATTACCATTAATCAGAAACTCAACTAGACTCTCATATAAATAGTGTCTACAAGAGCAAGTCAGGGGCTAAGAATACTACAGTGAATAGTACGCCCCCGATTCCCCACAGCCTGTTCACTATCTACACGGCAAAGGGTAGAACTGTGATGGAATTCTCCCCACTTGCCTGGATGAGTGCAGCTCAGACAACTCTCAAGAAGCTTGACATCATCAAGGACAAAGCAGTCCACTTGGTAGGCACCACATCCACAAACATTCAGTCACACCACCATCGACACTCAGTAGCAGCAGTAGGCAACATCTACAAGAGGCACTGCAGAAATTCACTGAAGATCCTTAGTCCACAACTTCCAAATCCACGACCACTTCCATCTAGAAGGACAAGGGCAGCAGATACATGGAAATACTACAAGTTCTCCCTCCAAGCTACCCACCATCCTGACTTGGAAATTTAAAGCCACTCTTTCACTGTAACTAGGTCAAGACCTGAAATTCCCTTCCTATGGGCCTTGTGGGTCTACCTACAGCATGTGGACTGGAAGTTCACCACCATTTTCTCAAGAGCAACAAAGTACAGGCAATAAATACCACAACCCATGAGTGAAGTTAAAAGAAATCCATTGATTCAGATCCAGCTCAGTGAAAAAAATCTAGGAAACACCGGTACCCTATTTGATTCTGTAGAGCTGCAGGTTTACATCCTATAGTGCCTATCCAATTTCCTTTTGAAATCAAAGGTTGTTCCCATTATGACCATCTGGTGGAAAGTGACTTCCAGCTTATCATCACTTTGTTGATCCAAAGAAGAATCATACTGGACTTGAAATGTTAACTCTGTTTCTCTCTCCACAGATGCTGCCAGACCTGCTGGGCTTCTCCAGCATTTTCAGTGTTTGTTTCATTGCCACTCACTGTGTATAAAGTTCTTCCTCAGACTCCCCTTACTTCTCTAGCCTAAGATACTAAATCTGCATCCCGTTTCCCTTGTATCATCAGCTGATGGGAAGAGATTTTCTTTGTTCATCTTATCCCATCATAATCCTGTTCACCACAAAGGGAGGTGATGGCCTAGTGGTATTATCAATGGATTATTAATCCAGAGACCGAGGTAATGTACAGGCGACCTGAGTTTGAATCCTGCCACAGCAGATGGTGGAATTCGAATTCAATAAAAATCTGGAATTAAGAGTCTAGTGATGACTATGAATCAATTGTCAGGGAAAAATCCTTACCTGGTCTGGCCTACATGCGATTTGAGACCTACAGCAATGTGATTGACTCTTAACTGCTCTCTAGGCAATTAGGGATGGTCAATATATGCTGGCCTAGCCAGAAACGCCTCCATCCTGTGAATAAATTTGAAAAAACTGTCAAACCACCTCTCAGAAATCAAACCTAAGGGGATGTCATGACGGTATATATATTGGCGCCTTTTTTGTCCCAGACTTTAAAAGAGGAGAGGAGGGGGTGTTTGTGATTATGTGGGATAGAGATTGTGATACCATACATCTCCACTTATAATATTACACAGATGTACATACACTAGTTTTGCAAGAAATGTGGATAAATTGAAACCAACGGATGTTGGTTCTCATTTAAGTGTTGTTTTCTGGCAATTGGCATCTTGCCAGATTCATTGTCATCACAGTGGTTTGTGATGCTAAGAACTCAAACCAGAAGTGCTTTTTTTCTTCTCTGTCTGAAACTATTAGCTGAGTGCCCAGTACATCATTTTGCCTGATGTATATGGTTATGTTGGTGAGGAGTTCATAATTCAAGTGACTAGGCTGTGTACCATGGCAGACTTTTACCATCCAGATTCACAAATCTCCTCACTACAAGAGTTTATTTGTTCTTTGAATCTTTCCACTCTTCCCAGGATTTTGGAGATCCATTCTGGAGTATATTTCCAAGGTATGTGAAACCAAGAGCCTCCTCCTATTTACAGCTTTTAAGACTGCCACAATTGCGTTCAGTCCGACATTTCATTAGGCTATTACAGTTCAATTTCACTAGTAACATTGCTGTGTTCTGTTCTCTTGTGTGTATTACTCTATTCAGATGCAATGTGTTAGTCAGAAAAAAAAGCCTTTGTATCGATTTTAGTATGAAAAACGCGAAAAGGAGAAGTTACACGTTTCTAAAGAAAAAGTAGAAAATGCCAGAAATGTGAGACACAGTCAGGAACTAACTTCTAAAAAAGAAAGATAGATTAACGCTTTGACAGCTGGACTCTCAAAGTCAGCTTGTGAAATAAAATTGCAAAAAATAGAGTTATACTGATGGAATTTGAGAAGTTAAGGGGTGACTTGATCAGATTTTAATAAATTAAGGGGACAGAAAGAGTAGATAAAGAACAACGGTTTCCTCTATTTGGAGAATTTGGAAGGTATAGACTGAAATTCGAACGAGGACTTTCACAATGCAATGAGGAAACACTGCTTCACACGACTGGTAGAGGTTTGCAACTCTTATTCAAATAAAATTTGATACTAAATCTATTGCTAATTTTAAAACAAAGATTGTTACTTTTTTGTAAGCCAAAGATATTAAGGGATACTGGGTATAAGTGGTTATATAGAGTTAAGTCACAAGCTAGCCATTATCTCAATGAATGGCAAGAACACACTCAAGGGACAAAATGATCCTCTCCTGTTTCCAACAAAGTCAGCTTTTCCCATTTACCACCTTCAGTGTGCAAATCAACACAGGAAACATCACATCAGTATTGGTCAGCATTCCTGAGGCCATTTCCTTATAATCTGCTGAATGATTAAGAAGGGACAATTTTTCTTTTAATAGAGCACTTTAATTATTAGAAACAGTTGGTTGTGTAGCAATCACTGGCAGCTGAAATATACACAGAGTTGATTCATATTTCAGCACAGTATGATAAGCATGCCTTATGCTTAAGGTATGCACAATGACACCAAATTCCATGTACCCATTACCTTTGTTGCGGAAAAACCAAAAAAACACAAATGCAGGAAATTAAAAACAAAAAACAGAAATTGCTGTAAAAACTCAGCAGGCCTGACAGCATCTGTGAAATTAGAGTTAATATTTCGGGTCAAGGTGATCCTTCTTCAGAACTGAACTCAAAATGTTCTGAAGAAATGTCACTGGATCCAAAACATTAATTCTGTTTTCTCTCATATAGATGCTGCCAGACCTGCTGAGTTTTTACAGCAATTTCTGTTACGGACCTATATTGGCTCTTGATCCAGCAACACCCTAATTTTAAAATATGTTTGTTTAGAAATCCCTCCATGGCCTCACCCCTTCCTCCTCATTTCTCTAACTTGTTCCAGATCTCTGATCCTGTCATATCTCTGAGCTCCTCCAATTCTGATCCCTTACGCAATTCAAATTTACATGACTCCACCATCAGCTGCCTCGACCCTAAGCTGTGGAATTCTCTCCCTCAGTCTCTGTTCCTCTCTACTTTACCTCTTTTAAAATGCTCCATAAGATCTCTTTTCTTTGACCAAACTTTTGGTCATCTTCTCCAATGTCTCCTAGTGTGACTGGGGGTCAAATTATGTTTGGTAACAGTCTTGTGAGTTGTTTTGGGGAATTTTACAATGTTAAAGGCAATTTCCAAAAGGACAATATTGTTGTTATGAAGGAGAGGTGCCCTACCCGTCATAGCTTGAGCAGTTTCCTTTGCAGATATGCTTTGCATTCTGTTTGACTTTGCAACATTCACTCCGTTCAGCAGGTCTTGCACAGACCCAGAAGAAGCAAAGCAGCTTTCAACTATTATTATGTGTTCAGCAGGGTGGTATGCTGTAAGACATACAAAATATTTACAACTGCATTGCTAGGAGAGGAGAAGCTGTACTGAACAGCTGAATACCTAAAAACTACTGCAAATGGCAAGCAAAAGAGGGCAAGTTTAATTCATCAACCAACTTTCTTAAAGCACTTGCTGTGGGAAACAAGTACAGATAGCTGTGCTATAATTAGGATTAAGTATCAAGGGGGAACTTTGGTAGGCAGAATAGAGGCATAGACTATATTCTAAATAGGGAAAGCCATTGGAGATCTGAAGAACAAAGGGACTTGGGAGTCCTAGTTCAGGATTCTCTTAAGGTTAACATGCAGGTTCAATTGGCAGTTAGGAAGGCAAATACAATATTAGCATTCATTTCAAGAGGGCTAGCCTAAAAGAACAGAGACATACTGATGAGGTTATGTAAGGCTCTGGTCAGACTGCATTTGGAATATTGTGAGCAGATTTGGGTCCTGTTTCTAAGGAAGGATGAGTTGGCTTTGGAGGAGATCCAGAGGAGGTTTACAGGAATGATGCTGGGGATGATCGGCTCAGCATATGAGGAGTGTTTGAGGACTTTGTGTCAATATTTGATAGAGTTTAGAAGAACAAGGGGGGTTTTGTTGAAACTTACAGAATACTGAGATGCCTGTAAAGAGTGGACATGGAGAAGATGTTTCCACTAGTAAAAGAGACTAAAACCCAAGAGAACAGCCTCCGGGTAAGACAATCCTTTAGAACTGAGATGAGGAGGAATGTCTTCAGCCAGAGGGTGGTGGATCAGTGGAAATCATTTCTTCAGAGGGCTGTGGAGGCCAAGTCATTGAGCGTATTGAAGATGGAGGTAGATAAGTTCATGAAAAGTAAGGGGATCAAGGGTTCCAGGGAAAAGGCAGGAGAATGGGGTTGAGAAACATATCAGCCATGATTGAATGGTGGGGCAGATTCAATGAGCCAATTGATCTAATTCTGCGCCTATATCTCATGGTCTTATCATCAAATCACCTCCAGTTTAGAACTTTGAGATGACACAGTGTAAAGCTGATCATAGAGTTTTATCACACAGAAGAAATCATTTGACTCATCAAGTCTGTTCAGGTTCTTTAAAAGAGCTTTTAATCTATTTCTATCCCCTTACATTGCAGGATTCTCCTTTTCAAGAAATCTTCCTGAGAAATCATCTAAATAAAGACACACTACATTACAAAACAAAATTTAAAAGTTGTTGCATATGAAGATTTTGCTCAGTGAAGTGGAGTTAAATTTTGTTTTGCTGTTCATTGGGATTACAATAGTTCTGTTCTATGTGCATGGTTCGCACACAGCTTACATGGTTTATCTGTTCAGAAACAGACTTTCAATCCAAATCTGCACTCAGAGCTTAAAAACTGAAAATGCAGTCGATACTTGAAAGAAACAAGGGGGATAATTTCCTAGCTTTAAGAATTCTATTTTCACAAATTCCTGTTTACCTTTTAGAATTAATGATATTAAAATGCGACAGTGCATGATAAACGTGGTATGTGTCATAAAGTAATGTAACTTTAAACAGTTCCTTTACACATAATGTACAAGCAAAAGATTTTCCATGGCAAAAACCCTTCAGAGTGCAAATATATTTGATGTACTTCAGCAATTTTTTAATATATAGGCAATTTTAAGAAGTAGATATCGATTTTATCTTTTGTTCTTCATTGTGTACTCTTTTGTCAAAATTTAAATTTCCTCCTCAACAGAATATGTAGCATATCAATCAGCATGCAGTCTTTTGTCAGAACAAAAGGTCGTCGACCTGAAATGACTGCTTACCCTTCAGAAATGCTGCCTGTCCTGTTGGAAATTTCCAACATTTTCTGTTTCTAATTTATAGTTTATGAATCTGCAGTTTTTGATTTTGCCATTTTTGGTCCTTTATTTTGAACTTTGTCTTGCTTCTTGTTGCTTTCTGTTTCAATAGTGCACGTTTCTGCATTACTAGATAATCACTTAGCATACAAAACTTTGATCTCTATATCCTCAAACTTTGAAACTTAACCCTGAAAGTATGAATATAGTCTTCTGGGATTTTTGAATTCACTTTGTATCAACACAAAATCAATGGGACATTGAACTACATTCAAAACAGTTTGAGGAAATTGTATAAACTGTGCAAATATTCTGGTTAGACTATATTTTGAATATATACCCACTTTAGTAACTGATGCAGAAATATTCTAGGGAATTCAGTGAAGAGTCACAAGGCATATTCGATGTATCAGAGTCTGGGTTGTTAGTATGCAGCCCTTTGAACCCTAGGGCATTCAAACCTGACATTTTCCTTCACTCCAACATGGGTCACCAAGGCTTCAACTCACCATACTATAACCTCTGGTACTCCCTCCCTGATCTTCCCTGATTACGTACCTCTCTCTCTTTCTCTTCCTTTACAACATTCCTTAAAGCTTACTTCCTTCATCAACCTTTTCGTCAAATGTCTTATTAAAACCACTTACATGGTTCAATGTCAAACACGTCTGTCAGACACTTTTTTTAACATTTTATTTTTTAAGAGGCAACAGATGAATGTAAGTTATTATTGTTGATGATTGGAGAAACCATCTGCTCAGACAGGGCACAGAAGTGATCTTATAGAGCTACATAAGATAGTTAATGGAATGGACTAAATAAATCTGGATTATAATTGCAAGCTAAGTAGGGAATTTAGGACAAGGGAACATTGAGAACACATGTTCAAACCATTAAAGAGTAAATTTAGGTAATTATGTCAGGAATGGACATCCAGATAAAACCAGTTGAAGCTAAGTATTTTTGCAGAACTTAAATTGAAATTAAATTTCAAGTTTATTTCTTGAATGAATAAAGAGATGTTTGATTTCCCTCCTGCCCTTTCATTTTTTTGTTCCCTATTATTCTTTGAAACATTACTAATTTTGAATAACTAATTCGTGCTCAGGTATATAAGATGTTTCTTAAGGTTTACAAAGATTAAATTTATAAATTGAGCTAAATGAATTCTAGATCAAACAAAAAGCAACAAGCCAGATAAGAAGCAAAGAATAGTGAGACTATTGATGATCATTAATGCTAAATTGTTTGTTTTATCTTTGGTAAGAGTTTAAGACAAGAGACCAGGTTCACA